ATACAGAACCTTTTCTCCTACAGCTACGAGCCAATAAATAAATGAAAGGCAATGTGAACTTTGACCACCATCTTCCAGATGAAACCTGACCACTTAAGAGCCCCAGCTCCCCAAGAAAATCCCCTACAACAATATGAATTTACTAAGTTGCAGATGGAAAGTCTGAATTGGAGGAGACACATCGAAAAGGAAGATAGCAGTTCACGCCATACAGCTCTTTTCAAAGTTCTGTGTCAGCATCAGGCTGCTGAACTCTGGAATGTGAGACTGTGTGACCAGCAGTGATGGGGTGCTGAATGAGAATGTGCTTTTTAAGTCTTATTTTATCTTATTTTCAAGGTTTCATCCGTCCAGATCTCATGATATCACCTATAACTGAACTATTACCTTTGGAATCAAAAGGAAATAAAAAATTCTGCACTGTATAATGAAATAATGAAACATTTTGCCAATATTACCAGTAACCCACCACCTGACCTTTGACAATAGGTTCTGTTTTGTCATCTTTTTAAAAGTCTAAATCATAAAGAACCCCCCCCTATTTGTGCTCATTTCTGAAACAGGATGGTAAACTTTACAATACCGTTAAAACATTACTGTGTCATATCCCAATATTAAGACACAACATCCCCCTTGAAAAAGTATCACAAATCCCTGACCTAAACTCAAACCTTCATTTTTGTCCTTTTTTCTTTTTAATGGTTTATTAATGATTCCCAGTCACTGCTGTTCAGAAATCCTGACAATGAACAGATTATGGTTATTAGCTGGGCTTCATTTCTCACGTGTCCTCATGTGTTTCATATGAACAAGCTTTAAATGGGTTTAAATGAACCCATTAAATGATCCAGAACAACTTACATATAAGAGATGTTTTTAAAGGTTAAATGAGACTAAAAGCGTGGCTGATCAGACATTTCCAACACTGTTTAACTAAAGCTAAAAGGAAAATTAATATTTGGGGCAAAAGGAACGGATTTAATATTATCCGTGAAAATCATCAACCTTAATCCTACAGTTAATAATCTACAGCCGCCATCAGTCAGGGATCTGGTGACCAGCAGTTCAACGGGTTCATCATTCGAACCATGACCACATCTCAGATCCAGTACATGGACCCCCATTCATTTTGTAGTACACTCATGTTTCTTCTCAGGATAAAAAAGAACATATCTATCAGAAGGGAAGAAACATAAGAGATAAAAAATATATATTTCATATGTGCCACCTCTGTAGTTTTTAACAATCCAACACATGATGGTGTTCTCCTATATCTGTTTTATGTCTTGTTGTATATGATGTTTGCACAATGCTGGCTGATCCTGGAAACCCTAGCAAAACAAACAGAAAAAATAACGGAATGTATCAACACATTATGCAAGATTTATTTGAACCTGAAGAGCCTGAATTATTTCCCAACCCTGTGAAAACTGAGTGTGACCCTGAGGTTACTATAATTTCCACCACAAACACACAGATGCACCTCTATGATTCATCACCGTGACAGACCTACCTATCAAAAAGATTGAGATATTGTGGTCATTAGAATGAGGCTGCATAGTTCGTAATAATTACCTGAAATTATTCTAAATAAGGATAATCGTGCTGTTTGGTTTCCTGTTAAAATAAAAAATAAATGTCACATTTTGGGAATCCTGTTACTGAATTGAAGTATAACAGCATTAGTTGGCATTCGGAAACGCCTAATATTCAGTATAAACAGCCTTCACTCACATCCAGCCTGCTCACATCACAGACAGAAAAAGAGACTTGATTTAAATCAACCACCCACCATGCCCTGCAGGAGGAAAATCAGTTTTACCCTAGAATGTCTTCAGTATTTTCAGTCTTTTTCAGGATGGGTATAGTGTGGAGTTCTCAAAGGTGGTTTTTACACTCCAATGAATAACAAAATTAAACTAGGAGAGATTGTCACATCACAAATACTGTGGAATGTGAGCAATAGTTCAGCGGGTGGTAAAGATGTTCTCAGTTTTTCTGAGGTCTGCACGGTCTAAAACAGCTTCATAAATCTTTACTATAAAACATTACACAGTTTAACCTGCTCTTTTGACTTGATTTGTGTAGTTGTTCAGGTTACTGTTTGAGAGCTGCACAGAGGAGCAATGTTAGAAAAAAAATACTTTACTGAAACACATTCAATCCTTTTTCATTAATAACTTTCCACGTTATTTCAATACTCCTCGATTACTTCTACATGTTATGAGAACTTTACAGGCTCTATGAATAATTTCTTACTTAATGAGATTAATATAGTTACCATTTATAGTCCTCCAAAGGAAACTCTTTCAACTTCTCTGTCTGTATGCTAATTGTGTGGCCATAAATTGAGCACTTCTTGTAATAGTGCAGTCATTTAAATTGCAAAGGAACATCACATTTATGTGGTAATTGGGTCCCAAATGTGTGAGTTTGATTTATATCCTGAATGTCCTCTACTATTAAAATGATTCCCCACTGCGGAAGACATGTGAGGTGGCCTGGACCGGCCTATACCTTTGCAATCTTCTCCAGACCTTAAATGAGTTTTGAATATTTCCTCCATTGATGTGGAGGTTTGCCTCTGGACAGAGTTGCAGCTGCATGATTCCATTAAGTGTTGTTTAAGCCCCACATTTAAAACACATTAATGATATACGGACAGAGGTTTCTGCAAGGTTCTTCTCAAAACAGGGATGTGGATTCTTTTGTTTTTCTATAATGTTGATGAGTCTTGGAGTCAATTAATTTGTGATATTCTTCATTTTGGAAAGAATGCCAAAGAACTAGGGTAATCCTTCAGTTATGTTTTATGACTGGTACTATCAAAATGCTTTTTACATTATTGTTATAGGTTAAAACAGTCCCTGTCCACGATAACAATTGAGGTACGACGATTGTTATGCTACCTACACATAGCTTGATGGCAGTACTTCGCATTTCAATGTTAATGATGACAGGCAAGAACCTTATGACATAGAACTCTTTTGTTTTGGGTACAAGGTTTCTAGATTGTTGCTGTTGTAAGAAAAATCTCATGAGAAGTTAATGCTGAATCGCTCATCTGTTAAACTGAAATGCCATCAAAGAAAAGCATGACATGTAAAGGACTAAAAGCTCTCATCAAAATAGTGATGATTATGGCGTTAAATTTAGTGCCGAATCGTAGTCCGAAAAATGCAGAAAATAATCTATAGAATTAAGGGAACAATAGGATTTTCCTCCTGTGGTGTTAACCCAAAAGGTGAATACTGCTGAGAGAATGATGGCTCAAAGCATGAGGGAAAAGCACATGAAATGCCAAATAACATTTTTACTCAACAGCATCGGGGAACTACAGATTCTACTTCATGAGGAAGAGAGAATAAAATGAGCACCTTTCGATCTGAAAGAAACCAGCCCTGCCTTCGGAAAAAGAACTGAAAAAGGTTCAGACGGACTGCAACCCCACCCTAATGTACTTCATCACTGATTCAAGCTGCACCCACACAAGTGGCCATCTGCACTCTCATCCACTCTCTTTCACAGAGCAAGGCGCATTTTAGTGAGGATCTGCAGGGTGGAGTGCCAGACCTGAGTCTCAGCCTGTGATCCCATTTCTTCTCCTTCTGCTCTCCGAAGCCTCCAAGCTTCAATTTAGACCCAGCGGGATGACAAAGCTCAGCCCGGACTGCCATTAACAGCCTGAGAGCAGACGGAGATGTTTTGTTGAAAAGCACGTACCTAGAGTGTTAGGTCCCCAGTGACGTTTCCAACACGGGAAAAAAAAAGGTAGAAGACAGTGCTTATTTGCTTTTATGTTTTTGTTTTTTCTTGTTTCTTCTGGCAGAATTTCTCATTTTTTAATGATACGACCGAAGTCAGCACAGTTATTTACAAGTCCTGTTGCCTACAATGGACTGTCCCCTGCCTCTCGACCCTATTGGAAATAAACAGGATATTAAATGGATGGATGGATGGATGGATGGATGGATGGATGGATGGATGGATG